AGGAGTAAGGACCATTGAAGTTCATGGGGCTTTCTGAATAGATGTCTGAAACATTTCACCTTAAATTGCTCCAAGATGCATGAGCTGTATAGGATTAGTTTCAAGCAGGCCAGCCAGGGGAGTTTGGAAACAAGGGAATTTTACATGTTCTGGCTTTCATCATCATCTGGGATCCGTCCATATTTGCTATAAGAAAAACCAATTGGAATTTTGCTCAACTCAGTTCACGACTACTCCAAGGGCATGAAAAAGTCATGGCTTTTGCTTGCCTGCTGGATAGCTCAATGGTTTAGGTCTCTGGATGCAGAGCCAAAGGTTGGGAGTTCGATTCCCCATTGGGCCTCCTTGACAGGGCTGGACTTAATGATCCATATGGTCCCTTCCAGCTCTGCAGTTCTAAGTTAATGATGATGATTATACAGAAGGGATACTACTGGACTGAAAAATATCACAAGCTCTGGAGCCTGTTGTTGTTCTTTGGAACCATGTGCTCTTCCCCTTTCCTCCATTTTCTCCCTACATATTCCAGCCTTGCACAACCTGCACTTTAATCTCCTGGACAAGGAAGACCCAGGCACCAAAACAGCTAGTTCTGGCTCCCGCAGATAATCCATGCATGTCAAACAGTGGAACCAATGTCAATTTGCATTTCTTTTATTCATATCACAGCATGCTTAATTTAAAATAATAGATGTATACTGCATGAAATATCGGTAAAATTAAAAATGAATTAAAACATTAAGATGCTTAGGACTATTTTTGACCAGAACCAAGGCTACTTCAATAGCGTTACCTTGGCCATTTGCTAGATCTTCTTCTGTACATGTGATGGGGAATGAAATGAATTGCACAGATCTGTTGCATGGATTCAATTTCTCCACAGTCACAGAACATTCATCCTGTATCCAAGTAACATCACATTACTTGATTATTCTTTGATCTTCCTACTTCACTTCAAAGCCTGTTAAGTGACTTCCAGATTCACCAGCTGCTAGAGTCTTGTCCTGGTGTGTGACACTCTTCAGCAATCATCCAAGATGTGTTGTTTCTGATCTTTGTAGATTTAGCCTATCTCTCCTGGTTTAATATTTTGAGCTTGAGATGGGTTTGTGGCCATGAAAACTACATTCCCATGTGCTTCCAGATACGCCCCATAGTCTAGTTCAGTGGTTCCCAACCTTGGATCTCCAGATGTTCTTGGACTGCAACTTCCAGAAATCCTGGCTAGCACAGCAAGTGGTGAAGGCATCTGGGAGTTTTAGTCCAGGAACATCTGGGGACCTCAGTTTGAGAGCCAGTGATCTAGTAGACAGGGCTTGCTTCTCCATAGAATTAAGCCTGGTGATTTAACTATAACCCTCTCACCTCTTCTCAGTTATGGTGGGTAAGTAGCTGATCTGGATGTTATTCTTCCAGAAGTCAAGCAAATGTTGCATGGAAATGTCATGCTGAAAGAGAAGGAGTTCTCCTGATTGCTTTGACAAAAGCTTTAGAACAGTTTCTTCCTGAGATCACAGGCTGGTTTCCATTCCGACACCCCCACACTCTTCAAGGAAAGAGACGCGTACCTTGACTGTAAAAGTTTGGAAGGAATCTGTGATTGACTGGGGTAATGAGCGCCATCATCTCTCCCCCCCCAAAAAAGTCACTGATCCTACTCATCATCTCCCTCTTTTAATAGCTTCTCTTTCTCCGAACAACTGGCATCAAATGAACAGATGACAGCCTTTGCTGCTTTAGGGAACCCATCCCCCCAACACACACACACACACACACACACACACCTTCCCAAGATGGCTTGATTCTCCCAGTTTACTGAGCCTTTCTCAAACGCTTCTGGGCTTTGGCAGGCAAGCAAAAGAGGTAAAAGGTCTCACCGGTATTTCACAAGCAGACCTATGGCAGTTCATTGTGCCTAGATTTACTGTAGCTGGCTGGATAGCTCAGTGGGTTAGCTCACTGGTTGCAAACCCAGAGGCTGAGAGTTCGATTCCCCCAGGAGGCCTCCTGGGAGAAGAACCAACCTGCGTAGCCTTGGGCAAGCTGCACAATTCGAGGGCACCTCCAGAAGAAGGAAATCGATAAGCTACTTCTGAATATTCTCTGCCTAGAAAATCCTGAAAAGTGTTGTCAAGTCTAAATTGACTTGATGACACACAATGATGATGATGGTGGTGGTGATGATGATGATGATGATGATGATGAGCATAAGCATAGGGTGGCTTACTATCTCATAGTGATCTTTGCATGAAAGTCAAAGGTACCTTATGCTCTTTCCTTTGCAACCATCACCTAGAGCTTAACTTGTCCGTTCCCAGGGCGTATATAAGGGCAGCTCCTGGCATCTGAGAGGCAGATGTTTCTGTTTTGACGACAGCTCGTCTAAAAGCCATTTTGCTTCCCTAACATCTCCTCAGGCGAGATTGGAAAACTGCGTTATCGTTCGCTTTGCCGTGCGCATCAAGCAATTTCCAATTTGCCGAGGTTCTCAGGAGCCAGCGTGTCCTCATTAATTTAATGTGTTATGCAAAATTTCCCCTAGATCCCAGTCTTGCCTTGTGAGAGGTGGCTCCTTAATCACATTTGGGCTTAACCAGTCTGCCTCAGAATCAGCCGGTTCACCGAAGCTATTTGTCAATGTCACCGAAAATAAAACAGGCTATTTCAGAGGCACATTTGCTGGGGTCTAGAGAAATCTCATCAGCCCACAAATAGGAGAGAAAAAATAGGTGGGTTCTCTCTTTATGTTTTTCCCCCAGCCATGCAAGGGAAATGATTTCAGATCAAGGTTTCATGGGTCAAAAGTAATGATCTTGTTAAAGATTTAAAAAATCTAAGAGGGAACAGGCTTTGCACTCTTTTGAAGGGCTAAACCGCAGAAGCCTGTGCTGCAGGGTCAGAAGACCAGCAGTCGTAAGATCGAATCCACGCGACGGAGTGAGCGCCCGTCGCTTGTCCCAGCTCCTCGCCAACCTAGCAGTTCGAAAGCATGCAAATGCAAGTAGATCAATAGGGACCACCTCGGTGGGAAGGTAACAGCCTTCCGTGTCTAAGTCACACTGGCCATGTAGCCATGGAAGATTGTCTTCGGACAAAACGCTGGCTCTATGGCTTGGAAACGGGGATGAGCACCGCCCCCTAGAGTTGAACACGACTGGACAACAATTGTCAAGGGGAACCTTTACCTTTACCTTTCTGGAGATGCTCCTGGACTCATCGCTATGCTGAGAAGCTCAGCCATTATTTCTGGTAAAGACTGGCTTCTGACACTCAAGGTTTCTGCATAAGCAGACACACTATCCACTCTGGCCGGGTGTAGCCTGATGATGGATTCCAGTAAGTATGTCATACAGAATTACCACAGATCTTCCATTGGAAAGTTTGATTTAGACAAAGTTTGTCTGCTGAGATGCTCGTTGTGGTTGTTATGGGCCATCAGGTTTTTTTGAATGAATCTGCAATGAATGGATGCTCTCCAAAATGTCCTCTCGTCAACAGCCCTGCTCATTTCTTGCAAAGTCACCCCTGTGGGTTCCATAAGGGAGTCAATCCATCTCATGTTTGGACTTCCTCTTTTCCTGCTGCCTTCCACCTTTCCCAGCATGATTGGGGTTGCTTTTTTCCCCCCAAAGATCCTATCTCCCCCCAATGCGCCCAAAGTAGGACAGCTTCAATTTCAACATTTTGGCCTCCAGAGAAAGTTCAGGCTTGGTTAGAGCTAATGTGACAGATGAGAAAGTGGCTCCTAGAAGCCAAAGAAGATGCTGAGCTGGCACCAGTGGAGAGGGAAAGTAAATTTAGAAAGGAAGGTTCTTTTGCCTTTCCTACTGTAAAGTCACTGATTCAATCACTGAAGTCCCCCAATATCTGGCACTCTTGCAGCTGCAGGTCTACAGCAGAAGACCTCTGCAGCAACACTAAGGAAGAAGAGGAAGGGAAGGAAGGGAGTGACAGAGAAAGGATGGAAAGTGTAAAGATGAGAACAGAAGCTTTCTTCCATGTTTCTTTTTCAACAGAGATAAACTGCTTCCAAACTATATTGGGGGGAGGGGAAACCTGTGTAGAATTTCTACTAAGAACCCAGGCTGGCTTCAGGTTTGAAGAGAATCTTGTTGATGACTGGTTTGGTGGGTCACCTCCTACATCAATGGGTCCATGAAGCTCATCCAGCAAAGCTTGGTGTCTAATTTCCCGCCATGCAACCAGCATGGTGGGTCCACATTGGATGGTTGTTTCTAAACCAACCCTTCGGTATTTTCCTCGGAAGGCATCCGCCAGATTCCTGGGATGCAAAGACTAACCAATGATACCATTCCAAACCTGTAGCCCAACCTGCTAGCATTTTTAAAACTGTGGCAAAAAGGAACACAGAGGTTTGGGGCTGGAAGTTAGGATAAATGTAGGGTATGTACCTAGATATGATATTTCAATGGCTTATCTAAGGCATGCACAACTTTTTTCATTGTGACATCCTAATATCATCCCATACAACATGATTGTTTACTTCTTCTCTGAAGTCCTGTCCAGGTGCAGGTGGCTCGAGTTGAAATACGGTGGTCTCTAATGCACTTTCCCTAATCAAAGTGGTCTTTAACACAACAATGAAATATGCAATTAGCTCTCTATGAAGGTTCCACACTGTCTCTGCCCTTAATGGACTCAGATGGTGATTATTATTATCCTAATTAACTGCCTTCTCAACTGGCTGGGGCTGACTTAAAGGTTGGCTGAAGCGATCCAATTAAATTTCTCTTAATAAACCTTTCTGCAAGATAAAAACAGAAGTTATCATGGGAGCGAAGGCCGGTGAGTGACCCCCTCGGGGTGAAGAGGCAGAGGCACGCCAACTGGGTGAGCTAAAATGTCCATCGGTTTTATGCCATGCTTCCATTGGGAACTTTTGTATAGAAAATGGAGAAGCAAAGGGACAAGTGGAAATGTATCTAAATGGTCTAACAATGGGGATCGCCGCTTCCCGGAGTTCAACAGAACAATACTTTGGAGGTCTTTTATTGTCAGATGCATCTTCTTCTATAAGCACTTATCCAAACATGGGCCAGATGGATATAATTTCAAACTTACAAAATCACTTAGCATCAGTGGAGATCAGCACCCTGGACAGGTCCTTTAAAGTTCGGATGAAATCCCAACCAAATGTAGATTCATGACCTGCCATTGCTTTAGCATCACTCAGCATCCTTAGCCTTCACAACAGATGGAAGAAAAAAAGCAAGAAGAAATAAAAGGACTGGGGATTGCCAAGGAAGAAGGAACAACAGATGAGCTAGTATTCCAATCCAATAAAATAGTTTTGTTCTTATTTATGCCTACATTTATGGACCTTCTTTCCATATGGGGATGCGTCTCAATGGCCAAACCAAAGTTGGCAGCATTTCTTCTCTAGATCTGGTGAAAGGGGAGGGATAACTCTGAACAAGTACTATCCCCATCATCTTAGAACTGCAGAGGTGGAAGGGACCCTATGAATCCTTGAGTCCAGCCCCTGTCAAGGAGGCAGAAGTGGGGAATTGAACTCCCAACCTCTGACTTGGCAGCCAGAGACTTAAACTACCGAGTGACAGCGAACTGCTAAGGGGAAAGAGAAAAAA